AGCACAGGCTCCGGACGCGCAGGCTCAGTGGCCATGGCTCACGGGCCCAGCCGCTCCGCGGCACGTGGGATCTTCCTGGACCGGGGCACGAACCCGTGTCCCCTGCATTTGCAGGCGGACTCCCAACCACTGCGCCACCAGGGAAGCCCTGTTACTTAATTCTTGATAAGTACATGTACCCTATTTCTCAAACTAGATTGTAAATTTCTGGTGTTTAAGAACTATAGTTTATTCTGCTTTTTACCTTCTATAGTACCTGTACACATAATACCTAGATATGTGTTCAGTAAAAACTGTAGCAGACATCTAGGTGTCATGGGGAATCACAGTGCCAGTGGCAAATTAATTTCTCTCTCCCGGGCTGAATAACTTTTTCAATGCCATCCCTTCAAAAAACACTAAAGTCTGCAAGCAATAAATTTTTCTGTGGATATCACAGCACTTGGATAAAGACTTTCCGGAAAAATTCCCTTCATTTTTAAGCTACACTTAAAGTTTCCATTGTAGAAGCATTCTGATAAAACATTGTCTAAATTCAAAATTACAACTTGCAAGTTACAACTTTGTTGTTTTAACCCCCAACACTCAAGAAAACTAGAAGCAATAGCATTTCTAGTTCACAGCACTAAATTCTAATAAAAGATATCAAAATGGCCTGGTGGGGGCAGCATAACACAGTTCCTTGGAAAAAGTATACCTAGGTTTTCCTTAAAGCCCGCGAAGATAAACACAATGACAGAATTTCAAGAGAAATATTTAGACAATACTAACCAACAAGAAAATACAGATGATTCTGAGCAACCAAAAACAATTTCTAACATCCAAACAGCTAAGAGGATTATACCCTTGGTGAAGAAAACAGCCTTAGTCAAATTCCTAGATATAAAAGGGGGGAAGAGGCACAAACTAGAACACTAGCTTGAATTCTCTTCAAAGGAGATTTTGCTATCAAACACAATGAAAATATTTATAATACAGTGCATTTCTGCATTTCCTTCAACATCTAGCTCTATGTCTCGTTGTAAGCACTAATGCTTATTTACTGAATAAGTGAATGAGGTAGTCCCAGAAAGATATACACATGTTCTATTAAGTCCTTTGTCTTTGCTGATTTACAAGGGTCGTCCACTTCTTTTTTTTTTTTTTTTTTTGGCGGTACGCGGGCCTCTCACTGTTGTGGCCTCTCCCGTTGCGGAGCACAGGCTCCGGACGCGCAGGCTCAGCGGCCATGGCTCACGGGCCCAGCCGCTCCGCGGCATGTGGGATCTTCCCGGACCGGGGCACGAACCCGTGTCCCCTGCCTTGGCAGGCGTCGTCCACTTCTTAACGAAAGCAGAGGAATCTTACAAGCACATATCAAAGTGGGTAATTTTAGGTGTGGATTTATCAAGATCAATTTAAGTATTTACTGAGTATACCAGGCACTGAGTAAAGCCCTACAGATACAGTGATAAACAAAACAGGGCCCCTGCTCTCAGAAAGCTCAAAGCTTACAACAAATAAATGAAGATATCATATTTGGTATTCCCCTATTCAAAAGGAAGAAAGATTTTTTAACAGGAGGTTGTGTTAGTACTTAGAACAACTGAAAACAATATCAAATATTAAAACCCAAGACTTACCAACTAGCCTGTGCTTTTTTGTATAACTGTCTCAAGCAAAAGCTATAGACAGCTTTATATGAAAAACAAAAACAATAGCACATCTAAGCCTGTATCTGATACATAATGCTTCTTAGAAATATTACTCAGCTATGTAAAAATGTTAAATATATAAATCTATTGGTTCATGGGCAAGGAACTCCCACTGGTCCAGGATCGATCTGGGATATTTCAGGAAATCAAAGATCCTAAAGGTAGGCAAAAAGGAATGATTAGTCTGGTGAGCTGTTCTGAATTCTAACACTGGTGAGGAAGTAGAAAAGGGGAAGGAGATCAGGGAAAAGTGCCTAACAGAGGGGAAAGTAAAGTGTACAAGTGATAACACATTCTGGGCAGAAATGAGTTGAGCTCAGATACAGATGCAACAGGATAATAATGAGACAAGTAATATATAGTAATGTCAAGTTAGTGATGGGTATTCAAGGCTAAACTATATTGAGATCAGAGTCAGTGTGTAAAATCAAGGCACTGAATAGAATTCTTAAAGAATCCACATATTAAAGGAAGATTAGTCTCAGTGTATAGATAGATTGGAACTGCAGGATGAATGGCTAGAAAATTCAGGAATGTAAACGTTACACTACTCCCTTTATTTTTATTTATTATTATTTTTTTTTTTGCGGTACGCGGGCCTCTCACTGCTGTGGCCTCTCCCGTTGCGGAGCACAGGCTCCGGACGCGCAGGCTCAGCGGCCATGGCTCACGGGCCTAGCCGCTCCGCGGCATGTGGGATCTTCCCGGACCGGGGCACGAACTCGTGTCCCCTGCATCGGCAGGCGGACTCCCAACCACTGCGCCACCAGGGAAGCCCCTAGTCCCTTTATTTTTAAAAGAGTCAACTAGCACATATGTATCAACTGTAACATTGTAGATAAAAGAGAAGTAACAGACTCAAATAACTGGTTCCATGAATAGGAATTTTAAAATTCTCATTCTTTGGGATACTGCACAAGTATTCTAAGGATCTACAGATCACTGATAAAAGAGGCTACCTAAAACGGCTTTTATGCTTTCTACAGCCCGTTATTGAAAATAAACTTAATTAAACTTATCATTCATGTCTTAAATGTATCATGTTAAGCACTGAGAACGATTCACTCTCGCTGTTAATACCAGGGAAGTGAGTTCTGTATATTAAGAATATTTTCAAGCATTTACATAAATTACCCCACCTAAGTGAAAACCGGCGTTTCAACTGATTTTTTCAACCGATGAAAAACAAAAGCTTCTAGGCGCTTACTGATCACTTTTTAAAAATCCAAGTACAACATCCAATTAAATGCCCTAATCTTAAACGTACAGCTCGATAATATTTTACAGGCGTGCACACGTCAATATAACCGTCCTCCACTAATCACTTATTTTTTTCCCAAATATTTGCATCCGACATCCCAAACCAAAACAAAATCTCTCTCCTTTGGGAGCGACGACCTCCTTGACTCCCTTAAGTAAGATGCGTGGATTTCAAGAGATACCTTTAGCCGGGGGACGGGAACGGCAGCTCGTCAAATTTAAGGTGGAGGAGACGACCCCGGCCCGGCACTCGGTTCTAAGACAACGCTCAGAACCGCCAACCTCGGTAAACATACAAAGAAGAAATAACCAAAACTCCTGCTCCGGGTGGGGCGGGGGCCGAGAGACCCGAGAAGACTTTACAAACGGATGACACGGCGGCGGGGCCCGGCAGCCAAGCCCCTCGCCGCGGCTCGCGGCGGCGCTCCCCGGCCAGGCAGGGTCGCGGGGAGGCGGCAGGCTCCAGGCGACACCGCCAACCTCCATCTCGAAACGGCGAGCTGGAGGCAGGGGCTGGGGGATCCGGCGACAATAAAAAGGAGGGAGGAGTCATCCTACCTCTCCCCGTGCGCGCTGCGCGCTCCGCCGGGTGCGGGGAGATGGCGGGCGGTGCGGCGGCTCCGCAACGAGGCCGCGCGCGCCCGAACCTCGGCGGCCGGCGGGGGTTGACGCAGCGCGGGCGGGGAGGCCGCGGCGGCCGCGGGGACAGGAACGCCGGCAGCGGCAGCAGCAGCAGCACAGTCGGCGGCGGCTGCGAAACGCCGGCTCCCCTCCCACCTCCGGCCGGTCGCCCGCCCCTTCCTCACCTGCAGGTGACCTGTTTAGTCCAGCCACCGCCGCTGCCGTCGCTGCCGCCTCCCCCGCCCCCCGCCCCCAGGGACGGGGAGGTGACTGTGGGGGTAGGGGTGGGGGAGGCCGCTGCCACCGCCGCCGCTGCCGCTCGTGCTCCTGATGTTGTGGCTGTTGTTCCGGGAGCTGCAGCCTCCGCCATTACTGTTTATCCCACACAGCAATGGCGCCGGAACTTCCGGGATCACATAATTCCGGTCCGGCTGCGGGGAGGAGAAGGCGGCGAGGCAAGGGGTGGAGAAGGACACTGAGGCGCCCGCTCGTCCTCCTCTGCCCCGCGTCGCGTCTCAGAGCGATCTCGCCGCTAGAACTGCGGGCCGGAGCCCGAGCGCCCCCAGCCCGCCCCCAGGGCTCTCTGATTGGTGGGCGATGAAGCCCCGCCTTGGAGGGGCGGGGCGAGGGCGGGCTACCCCAGGTGAGGCCCACCCCCCCACCTACTGCCCCGAGGCTCCACATCCAGGGAACCAAAGTCCTCATTTCAAGGGCACTGACTTAAAGGAATGTGTCCCAGCATAGGCTGATGCAGTGGAGAGGCGGAGTGGCATTGGGGTCCTGGGTTTGAATCCAGACTTCCCTGGCTCTACCAATTACTAGCTGTACGAACTTGAGCTGGTTACCCATTCTCTCTAGCCTCAGTCTCCTGATCTCTCAAATGGGGGTGAGAGTAGTCCCCACCACGTAAGGTTGTGGTGAGGATTATATATGTGTGGCAATCACTGAGCTTAGTGCCTGGCAGACTAAACACTTAATAAATGTTCTCTCTTATTCTTCCCATCAGAGGTGGGATCTCTCAACCCAAGAGAATAGCATGGTGGCTAAGCAAATGCTCTGCAGTCAGCTTGTCTCCGTTACCTCCAGGCTTCTCCCATTCTTAGCAATGTGTTTTTGAGTAAGTTAACTTACCTCTTAGTCTCCTGCTTTCCATCTGTAAAATAATAATAATTTAAAAATAACTCCCTACCCCAGAGACGATTATGAAAATTAAATGAGAGTCCACTGTGCTTCACACTACAGTTTTAACTTAATAGATATTGAATAACAAAAGCTGTCTGAAATATCCCAGCTTCTAAGAGTTATTTCTAAAACTAAGAACATTAAAAAGTATTTAATCCTACTTTCTGATTAAACCCCATGGTCCACACAGATGCTGCATATTAAATCCTGAGCAGTTTTTCATGAGCCCTTAAATTTGCTTTTCTATAGTCTCTCTACCTTGAGAAAGTGAAAATCCACCCCACTGATAATCAGACCACAATGTACCCAACAGACACAAACAAGGACAGTGTCAAAGCCAACAGAAAACAATGTTTCACCCAAGGCCACACCATGACTGCAAAATGACTAACAATCCCCTTTTGAGTAATCACAGCTTTTTGCTAATGACTTTCCCAGCCCCACTTCACTTCTCCCTCTGACCTCCCAAAGATTTATGAGACACCCAGTTTCTAAACTGCCCCACCTCACGACAGCACGCCAAACCAGAACTGGTCTCCTTTCTGTTGTGTTGTTACCCAAAAAGAGCTTCAACCCTGTGAGAAGCCCCTCCCTATTCCCCTTTCCAAGATGCCCGGTGTGTCCCTGGTAGTCTTTATCTGTTAGGGTTTATCTGTTGTTGCTAAATAACAAAATTTCAACCAAGTCAATTTTATGATCTAATTGGCTTTATTGAACAATTCATGAATTGGACATCTAGAAAGGAGTTGCACTGAGCTGTAGAAAAGGAAAGGTTTCTAAAGGCTGTGAAAGGGGGCAGAAAAAGGAACTTATTAGCAAAGAAAGCATTGTTCTCCCAAAAGGAACAGAAGGGGCCTACTGGTCATATCACCTCACCTAGTGCTAACCGGGTAATTCCAGGTTGACTGGTTAAAGGTTACATTCCTGGGGGGTTGAGACAACAGTTTGGTTAGGTATTAAGTCTTGGTTTGGTGATGTGCGGTTTAGCACAAGTGACTCCATTTTGGGCCTTCTGTCTCCTTTTTAACACAGTCAAGTGATAAATTGTGTTTTTAAAACGTGGGAGTAGGAAAGGAAGCACTGAAACTTTTTTATGTTAAGAAAAAGGGTCATTTAAAACAATTCTTCTATTTTAGAAAAATCCTCATGTAAAGTATGGATTCTTTTTGTCTCCTCACTGCTGCCCTCACCTGGAAGCAGTGATGCTCAGCTCAGGGCCCTCAGTGCAGTCACATGAGATGGTAAAAGATCTGAGTCACAGAGATACACCTGGAAAGGCCCTGAGCCTCAACTTTAAGATGGATTGAGGATGGGACCCAGAGCTGTCCCTGAGACCCCATGTGCCCAGCCAAGCTGAGCTCTGAATTTTAGATCTTCCTGTTCAACCCTGCAGCCAAAGTGACTTTCTCTGCTCCAAGTCCTCCAAGGAGGGTTTCAATCAGGGTAAGGCTTTACTAGGCCCCATCTACAGACCTCATCTCTCTTCTGCCCCTTTTTCGCTTCTCCAGGAACTCTGACCTCAAGCTTGTTACCAAATGCAAGTTTGTGTGCCCGAGGCACAGTAAGGCCAAACAGACCTAAACATCAGAGTTTGGTGCAGAGAGGTTTATTGCAGGGCCAAGCAAGGGGAACGGGTGGCTCAAAAAACCCCAACTCCTCGATGGTTTTCAAGGAGAAGTTTTTATAGGCAAAATTTGGGGTGAGGGCTGCAAGGTGTGTGACTTTCTTCTGACTGGTTGGTGGTGAGGTAACTGGACGGTGCTCCAGGAATCTAGCATTCAGCCCGAAGTTGCGAAGTTACCATCCTCCACCTGGGTGGGGACCTTAGTTCCTGCAGAAGATCTCAAAGATATTGTTATGTACATTCCTTCAGGAAGAACCAGGACCCTGCCCCGAGGCTTCACTATTGTTTCTTGACTGCTCCTTCTTTGTTTCTGTATTCCCTCCCTTCCCTGATTAGCAACTGTTTGAATCCACCCTTTGGGACTCAGGGAATATCAAGGAGGCTGAATGAAGCTTATAAACAAGAAACTGGGGGCAGGGAAAGGATTTGTACTTGGCTTCATGCTGACCCAAACACACAAGTCACACTCTCACAACCTCATCATCTATACATTTCCTTGGCTACCTCCTCCAAGCTTTTACCAAAACTCAACCAGAAATTCTCAAATCTCAACCAGAAATTCTCAAATCTTCTTATTAGGTAACTAATAAGGACCTACTGTATAGCACAGGGAACTCTACTCAATACTCTGTAATGACCTATATGAGAAAAGACTCCTAAAAAGAGTAGATATATGTGTTGACTAAAAAACTATTCACAACCTAAAAGTTGAGAGTTATGTTTTATTCAGCTGGAGTTTTTAGGACTTCAAGCCCGGGAGTCAGCGTCTCAAGTAACCCTGAGAAAATTGCTCCGAGGAGAGGAGAGGGGAGCTAGGATATATACTTTTGTAACAAAGGGCAGTTAGTAGGAACAAAAGATTGCTGTTAATAAAAGAAAACCAGATATCTCAAGTTAAGGGATTTAACATTTTTCTTTGTATGGGAAGATGCAAGAGTTGGACTCACTGAAATCATTCCTTTGATATGCACCTCATCTGTCTGGGGCCAGTATCCTGTGTTTTCACATCCTGAGTTTCCTCAGGGCTCAGCACAGGGAGTGGCTGCAGTCTGATGGCAGCTAGATGGCAGGTATTCTTTCCTTCCTGAGTCCCCTCAGGGCTCACCAGCGCAGCCTAGTGAGCTGCAACTGCTGATGACTGTGACATCCTTTGTGTACTGATAATGGCAGGCAATATTTCATTTATCATATGTATATGTATAACTGATTCACTTTGCTGTACAGCAGAAACTAACACAACACTGCAAATCAACTATACTCCAATAAAAAATTAATTAAGGGATTCCCTGGTGGCACAGGGGTTAAGAATCCGCCTGCCAATGCAGGGGACATGGGTTCGAGCCCTGGTTGGGGAAGATCCCACATGCCACAGAGCAACTAAGCCCGCGAGCCACAACTACTGAGCCCGTGCGCCACAACTACTGAGGCTGCGTACTTAGAGCCCGTGCTCCGCAACAAGAGAAGCCACCGCAATGAGAAGCCCACGCACTGCAACGAAGAGTAGGCCCTGCTCACCGCAACTAGAGAAAGCCCGCGCACAGCAACGAAGACCCAACGCAGCGAAAAACAAATTAAATAAATAAATTTTTTTTTAAATTTAAAAATTAAAACAATTAGAAAAAAGAAATTCTGAAATCTCAATCTCTCCTCTGACTTTTAAAATATTGCAATATGTTTCCTCACCACCTCACCCCACCCTCCTACACTCCTAATCCCCGTACTCTGCTCCATTTTTCTTTTTCTTTCTTTCTTTTTTTTTTTTGGCATGCAGGATCTTAGTTCTCCGATCAGGGGCAGTGGAAGCTGGAGTCTTAACCACTGGATCACCAGGGAAGTCCCTGCTCTATTTCTCTTTATTGCATAGTATTTACCTTCTAATTTACTATAGAATTTCTTGTTACTTATTTTTTAATTGTCTATCTCTCCTAGCTAGAATATAAGTTCCCTGAGGGCAGGAATCCTTACCTATTTTGTTCAGATGTATCCCAAGTCCCTAGTACGGTGTCTGGCATATAGTAGGTGCTGAATAATATGTGGGCAATGGATGAAAGAATTCTCTGTTGTTAGAAAAATTACTAAGCCTTGTCTCACCATCCATACCAATAGGAATAATGACGTTTTGTATTATAGGGAAACAAAATAAACAAAGAGTCATCTCTTTCTCCGGGAGAAAAATTCAGCACAGGGCATTCCATTTACCTCTTCCCTCACAAAATATTTATTAGTGATTTTGATTTTGCTGGACCCGTGCTACCCAAGCAGCCAGGTTACATAGGAATCGTGAGCGGACTTTAGTGCCTGAACATAGTAGCCAGGTGACATTGGGCAAGTTCCTGCCTAAGTCTCCTCACTGGTGAAATAAGGCCAATGGTACACCTTCCTTATAAGTATTAAATGAGTTAATATATATAAGCCTCAAGGAACAGTCCCTAGGTGTAGTAACTGCTAGGTAAGTGTTTATTATTGTTTCCATTGATGTTGTTATATGATGTTAAAACAGGGTTGCCACATTTAGCATATGAAAATACAGGATGCCCAGTTAAATTTGAACTTCAGATAAATAA